ATCACTCCTAATTATTAAAGATCAAACGACCTAATCAACATGATAATTGGTATTCAATATAATCATCGGTCATGCTTGACATATTTCATAAAAACGGCGTGTGTCGATGAAAACCTTAATAACTTTTTAAATATTAAATTCAAATATTAAATATTATCAAAGCAAAAATTATAAGATGAAGAATTAAATTATCAATCGAATGCATACCTTCACCACTAACCAAAACGTATATTTCATGTCCTGAGTGCACTTTGTATGTCCTGAGTGCACTCAGGAGGTCCTGAGCGGTGTTTAGACGTACCGCATTTTCCCAGCTTGTTACCACTGACGTAAGCACGATCACATGATCGTTATCTTATTAAAAATCATTCTTAATGACAAGCGCTTGATTCTTTTACCAGAAAAATGCTGATTTATCAGGTTTTGACCAGCAAAATTGTACAAAACATGTTTTAAGAATAATATTTATTAATTTAATAAAAAAAAAAAAAAAAAAAATCGCGTCATGTCTCCTTTAAGTCATGTTATTTCATGATGCTGGATTCCTTTTAGAGGCCCTATAGAATGCAGATGATTCTGAAGACCTGGATGAAGACATTCCGTTAGCCATTTAGTTAAGTTAAGGTTAAAGAATTCGTGTCTGCAGATACTTGAAACTGACGATGTTGATTTAACTACAGAATCCGCATTTGACACAGACAGTGATTGGGAATCTGACTTTGTCAATGAATTAACAGGAGACAACATCATTATAAAAAGCAAACTCTCTACACGTCAGATAATATTGAAAGATTATTTATCTTTACTTTGAGGAGCATGATTGAAGAACTTGCAATAGATTGTAAAAACTGTAATAATGTCTTTCTGCATCTATTTGATATTTTTCCGTTTACCCCGCAATCCAAACACCTATGAAAACCTAACAAAACACAATGAATCAAGGGTGTTTGGTTTGGACAGGTTTCACTGTATTGTTATGATAAAGTACACTTCCCAATGTTTTATTTTCGAGGTTTGACAAGAAAGTATTTTTCCTTTTTGCAATCCTTGATATGACAATAAAACTGATAATACTAAAAAGAAATATTCATTTGATAGTATATGCAATTTTCAAGACTGAAATTGAACCAGTTATGTTCAGAGAAAGAAATTTTACTAGGTACCCCTCGATAAAAAGTTTCATTGATTTTAGTCCTTTCAGAATATGATGATGCATGATATATCCTAAATCATATAAATATTAAACTGTAACAGACATGGAATTGCAATGATTTAATTGTAAACTGTTTAAATTTAATAAATGTTATCAAACAGGAACCTACATTGCATGCTTAATTGGCTTAGGATAAGAGTTTTGTCCAAGTATTAAACTCACATACCAAGTTACCTTTAATCAAATGACTTGGCATAAGGATCCAAATTAGGGGAAATTAGAACTTCACAAATTCACACTATGGATCAATAGTTCACACTATAATGACCTTATATAAGTTTTATGTTAAAGTTTACAATGAAGGACCTTATAAAGGCTTCATTTCTTGGTTCATTGAATTGTTAAGTTCACATCCCAGCTCAGTTCTTAGGTACTAAGTAACCAAAAGTGTGCAACTTGATGAGAGAATTTAATTAACAGATTGAGGATTTTAGCCTATCAGTAACAGCAGGTTGTTGCCACAATTTATATTTCTCATGTATTGGTTTAAGACCCAAGTTCAGTTCCAGATACAAAGTGCCCTACAAAGATAAAATAGACATGCATCCATATAAGCATAACCTTCTTTTATAATTAATTTCCATAACCCTTTGCATTTTAGGTGACATTTTAGAAATAGGCGCACAATGGGCAATAGCTAAAAAAGATACCACAGCATTTGAAAGATATATGGCACAGCTTAAGTGTTACTACATGGATTATAAGTAAGTAAACTTTTTCAAATCCATGAAGTATAGCCTAAGGATCCCTAACAATTTTCATACGACCGCAAAAAATTTTGCAGTCGCATATTGGTATCACGTCATCGTCAGCGTCGTCCGAAGACATTTGGTTTCCGGACAATAACTTTAGTAAATGTAAATAGAAATCTATGAAATTGAAACACAAGGTTTATAACCACAAAAGGAAGGTTGGGATTGATTTTGGGGGTTATATAGTCCTAACAGTTTAGGAATTAGGGGCCAAAAAGGGGCCCTAATAAGCATTTTTCTAGTTTCCAGACAATAACTTGTGGAACGGTGTATGGATCTCTCTGAAATTATACCACAAGTTTCCATACCACAAAGGGATGGTTAGGATTGGCTTTGGGGGGTTATGGCTCAAACCGTTTAGGAATGAGGGGCAAAAAAGGGGGAAAAACAAGGGTTTCCTGGTTAATGGACAATTAAAAAAAAGTACAATGTTATGTTTGGATTACCTCCCTTACACTGCTTTTAAATTATTTATAAAGAAATGTTGTATTGTCTTGAGGTGATTAGCTGTCAATTTATTTTTAGAAGTTACTATTTAAAAATGCTGATTAAGGAATATTAATTTTAGCCATGATTATGTATGTCATTTTCTATTTTAAGACTTTTATGGTGTATTTAAATGGGTAATTATGGTTGCAAACTCCATTGGAAATTTGAATTGAGAGTATGACCATATCTTGAGGGAAAGGATTTTTTTTAGGGAAAAAGGGTGGGGGAGGTGAGAAAAAAAATTGGGGGGGGGGATTTTTTTTTCATTTCAGATTTCAGAAATTGAAAAGAAAATTTCTTCAAATATTTTTTTTCTTGCAAAAAAAAAAGTGGGGGGGGGGGTGTCAATTCGCAACAGCATAGTGTATTGCACAAAAGCAAAAAATTGAATATAAATTCAAATCATATATCCAATTCTAAGTTCTTTGACTACAGTTATTCTGTGTCAGAAACCTATTATGTGTCAAATATTTAATTACAATCCAAATTAAGACCTGTATCATGCGCGAATATTGTGTCCATTTTTGCCCCAACTGTTCAGGGTTGGACCTCTGCGGTCGTATCAAGCTGCGCTCGGCGAAGCAATTTATTTTACAGATTTAAGACAAAGTGAGACAAATTGTAGTGGACCTTCTGAGTAGAAATGTGTTTAATGGTTAAGATGACAGCAGTAACTACAATGTACCCTAAAATCACTTTACATGTATACACATGTTCTTATTTCATCCTTTGTCAACATGTCATGCATTTAACCAATTTGCATGAAACTTTGGTAAATTGTTTATATCTATTGACGTGAGCGAGCTATCTTTCTATTTTTATAAATTTTAGATTTTACGTTTCCGAGTAATGAGGTTTTATTCATTAAAAAAGGTTGATTTTCCAATTTTCAGACAATAACTCAAAAGTGCTTTGAGCAGTTTTCATGAAACTTTGGTGACTGGTTTATATCTATTAAAATAACCTCCCTTTATTTTTTTTTATAAATTTCTGATATAACATTGAGGAGTTATGGAACTTTATTCTTTGAAAAAGCGACGTGCGTATCATGTGCTCATGGCACAGCTCTTTATTCGAGGGGTAATACTCTGCCCTTGCACCCTCTTTAATTAATGTACAGATGTGTTTTGATGTTTGACAGAATGTGGTCTTGAAGGTTGGGTGGATCTAACAATATTAAAATTCCAGGTTTTGAGAAGAGTGAGAATGTGAAATCTTTGTCTTAATCTACTGGTCAAATAAATTGCAGATAAAAATATGACATGAATTTTTTTCCTTTTCTTGTATAAATTGTTATGCGATCAGCCAGAGAAAATATAAAAGGAAAAAAGTAGACATGGTGCTGGGGCAGATTCATTTATAAATGAATATGAATCATACACCATGCCTGCCTACTGGGGAAAGCTTCTTTTCCTCTTTCTTGTTCTACATTGTCTGCCCCCTTGCCGTCATTAACTAAAAAGCATTAACAGAATAACAGCCGTTTATGTTGCGTCCTGAGCACAATTCTGTACAACAATCGTAAGAGCGGTTTTTACAACAAAAGCTGGATTGATTTTAGCAGTAAATTGAACTCATTTTACTCTAAAATTGTTTGTCAATTAACCGACAGATACAGTCTGTCCAACCTGAAACGATTCTGACTTTTGGTCCAAAGAAGCACAGGTACAAGAAGAGATTTGTTAATATATGTATATATACTGAATACATTATATGGTGTACTAAAACCTTTGCACCTTTTGTTTGCGGTATATCATCTTTTCCGCAAGCTTATTGTTTTCTGTTTAGTATTAAATTTATAATGAAGATCCATTTATTACATCGGTGATCCGTTTATTTGGCAATCGCCAATGGCAGACAGCAGGGTTTAAGGACATTTGTTGTTCGACCTGTTAGTCAAATGCGTTTTGGTAAAATATACTGTTTATACGACGGCAAAAAAATTTTGCGGTCGTATATTGGTATGATGTCGGCGTCATCGTCCGAAGACACATTGGTTTTCGCACTCTAACTTTAGTTAAAGTGAATGGATCTCTATGAAATTTTACCATAAGGTTCAATACCACAAAAGGAAGGTGGGGATTGATTTTGGGGGTTATGGTACCAACAGTTAAGGAATTAGGGGCAAAAAATTAGCATTTTTGTAACTTCCAGACATAACTTGTGCGTTAGTGTATGGATCTCTCTGACATTGTACCACAAGGTTCCATATCACAAAGAGAATGCTGGGATTGATTTTGGGGGTAATTGCTTCCAAATTTTAGGAATTAGGGGCCAAAAAGGGGCAAAAAACAAGCATTTTTCTAGTTTCCAGACAATAACTTGTGTGTAAGTGTATGGATCTTTATGAAATTGTAATACAAGGTTCCATATCACAAAGGGAAAGCTGGAATTGACTTTGGGGGTAATTGCCCAAAACGTTTAGGAATAAGGGGCCAAAAACAAGCATTTTTATACGACCGCAAAAAAATTTTTGTGGTCGTAGATTGGTATGACGTTGGCGTCGTCGTCGTCGTCGTCGTCGTTGTCCGAAGACTCATTAGTTTTCGCACTCTGACTTTAGTTTAAGTGAATGGATCTCTATGAAATTTAACCATAAGGTTCAATACCACAAAAGGAAGGTGGGGATTGATTTTGGGGGTTATGGTACCAACAGTTAAGGAATTAGGGGCCAAAAAGGGGCCAAAAATAAGCATTTTTGTAACTTCCAGACATAACTTGTGTGTAAGTGTATGGCTCTCTCTGACATTGTACCACAAGGTTCCATATCACAAAGGGAATGCTGGGATTGATTTTGGGGGTAATTGCCTCCAAATTTTAAGAATTAGGGGCCAAAAAGGGGCAAAAAACAAGCATTTTTCTAGTTTCATGACAATAACTTGTGTGTAAGTGTATGGATCTCTCTGACATTGTATCACAAGGTTTCATATCACAAAGGGAATGCTGGGATTGATTTTGGGGGTAATTGTCTCCAAATTTTAGGAATTAGGGGCAAAAAAGGGGCAAAAAACAAGCATTTTTCTAGTTTCATGACAATAACTTGTGTGTAAGTGTATGGATCTTTATGAAATTGTACTACAAAGTTCCATATCACAAAGGGAAAGCTGAAATTGAGTTTGGGGGTAATTGTCAAAAGGTTTTGGAATAAGGGGCCAAAAAGGGGCCAAAAATAAGCATTTTTCTAGTTTCCAGACAATAACTTGTGTTCAGGTGTATGGATCTCTCTTGTACTGCAAGGTACCATACCACAAAGGGAAGGCTGGGATTGATTTTGGGGGTAATTCCCTTAAAATTTTAGGAATTAGGGGCCATAAAAGGGCAAAAAAACAAGCATTTTTCTAGTTTCATGACAATAACTTGTGTGTAAGTGTATGGATCTTTATGAAATTGTACTGCAAGGTACCATACCACAAAGGGAAGGCTGGGATTGATTTTGGGGGTAATTCCCTCAAAATTTTAGGAATTTGGGGCCAAAAAGGGGCAAAAAAACAAGCATTTTTCTAGTTTCCAGACAATAACTTGTGGTCAAGTGTATGGATCTCTCTGAAATTGTACTGCAAGGTACCATACCACAAAGGCAAGGCTGGGATTGAGTTTGGGGGTGATGAATCTTAAGGGGGTTCAATAAATTTTGGGGGGGGATTTTTTTTTCCTTATTTTTCTTTAAAATTTTCCATTTTAAATTGGTTATTTCTGATTTATATATAAAAGCAAATAATAATGATATGGTTTGAATAGGTAAATTAAATTTTTTTAAGTTCTTAGACCACTTTCATTCTGTGTCAGAAACCTATGCTGTGTCAAATATTTAATTACAATCCAAATTCAGTGCTGTATCAAGCTTGAATGTTGTGTCCATACTTGCCCCAACTGTTCAGGGTTCGACCTCTGCGGTCGTATCAAGCTGCGCCCCAGCGGAGCATTTTATTCTAGTTTCCAGACAATAACTTGTGTTCAAGTGTATGGATCTTTCTGAAATTGTACTGCAAGGTACCATACCACAAAGGGAAGGCTGGGATGGATTTTGGGGGTAATTCCCTTAAAATGTTAGGAAAAAGGGGCCAAAAAGGGGCACAAAACAAGCATTTTTCTAGTTTTAGGACAATAACTTGTGTGTAAGTGTATGGATCTTTATGAAATTGTACTGCAAGGTTCCATATCACAAAGGGAAAGCTGGGTTTGAGTTTGGGGGTAATTGCCCTAAACGTTTAGGAATTTGGGGCCAAAAAGGGGCCAAAAAACAAGCATTTTTCTAGTTTCCAGACAATAACTTGTGTTCAAGTGTATGGATCTCTCTGAAATTGTACTGCAAGGTACCATACCACAAAGGCAAGGCTGGGATTGAGTTTGGGGGTGATGAATCATAAGGGGGTTCAAAAAATTTGGGGGGGGGATTTTTTTTTCCTTTTTTTTCTTTAAAATTTTCCATTTTAAATTGGTTATTTCTGATTTATATATAAAAGCAAATAATAATGATATGGTTTGAATAGGTAAATTAAATTTTTTTAAGTTCTTAGACCACTTTCATTCTGTGTCAGAAACCTATGCTGTGTCAAATATTGGACCATCATCCAAACATCTGTGATGTGATGGATGAAGGTCATTATATGAGGAAGCCAAGGGCTTCCGAGGGTTAATAGTGAACCTTTTATTATGTGCCAGCCACACGCCTATTTTACAGTTGAGTGATATTTTGTATGTCCAGGTAGTATATAAGGACAGGTGACCTGAGTAGTATCCTCTTTTATTTTGAGGCAAACAGTAAAATCTCCAGTGTAAATGGGTAGTAACACGACCAGTATTTGCATTTATATCAAACCTCATCGGGAATGGGTTTTCACTAGGGAGGGTACTATTAACCCTCGGAAGCCCTTGGCTTCCTCATATAATGACCTTCATCCATCACATCACAGATGTTTGGATGATGGTCCATTATATATCATGACCCGGGCTTGACTCGGGTTAATAGTGAACTCTTTACAGCCAAAAATGCAAATACCAACAAGAACAACAAGAACATCAATCACCATAACCAAACAATTGGTCTCTCATACTTTAACAAGTATATATGTATGAGCCTAAATCATATCAAAATATTTAACTGCAGATAAAAAGAAAATTCATCTGTCTCCATACATGTATATCACTTGTACGAAAGAGAATACACAATCACCAATATGTCTATCTACTATCTTTTTATTCCATGTGTTAGATGTTTCTGTTTTCATACCAAAATCATAAACAGTCTTTATTACTACCAAATATAAAACATCCTCTAGTAGAAAACCTAACTACCACTCTACATAATATGTACATGTAGTAGATCATAAATTATCACATTTTGTCTCCATAACATTACTCCAAAACTACCCAGAATTGCAATGACTATCATGAAATAATAGAATATTTCTTTGTTTTGTGGAATAAAGACATAAGCTTCATAATAACTTTTATTATGTTCAAAAACAAAAATCTGTTACAATCTTCAGAAAACAATTAATACTCTATAAAGTCCACTTTAAAATGCCTCTCACATGTAACAAATATAACAAAATAACACTGTTGTTTTCTCATTATTCTTAAATTATCACATTTTCTCTATGCTTCTTCTCAAACGTTCTCGAAATTTAATGCTATTGACTAAAACTGTTCGATTCAACTCCAAATGTCAGCAAACTCCTGTTGCAAAAAACCAAATGGAATGTCCAAAAACCATTCATCTCGCAGAAATGCTAGATACATCATAACATGTACGTAGAAAAACCATAGCTGATCCTCCTGGTCCACCATACAGTTCCTGTAAACCACTAGCTATAAATAAGAATTAAATACTGTTTCAGTATATGATGGCAATGGAGTTTCAATATCTTTAAAATAAAACTTTTGAAAAGTGTAAGCTGACCTCCAGTTAGCAGTTTTTATACGACCGCAAAAATTGAAAATTTTTTGGTCGTATATTGGTATGACGTTGGCGTCGTCGTCGTCGTCGTCGTCGTCTGGCGTCGTCCGGCGTCGTCCGAAGACACATTGGTTTTCGCACTCTAACTTTAGTTTAAGTGAATGGATCTCCATGAAATTTTACCATAAGGTTCAATACCACGAAAGGAAGGTTGGGATTGATTTTGGGGGTTATGGTACCAACAGTTAAGGAATTAGGGGCCAAAAAGGGGCCAAAAATAAGCATTTTTGTAATTCCAGACAATTACTTGTGTGTAAGTGTATGGATCTCTCTGACATTGTACCACAAGGTTCCATATCACAAAGGGAAGGCTGTAATTGATTTTGGGGGTAATTGCCTCAAAATTTTAGGAATTAGGGGCCAAAAAAGGGGCAAAAAACAAGCATTTTTCTAGTTTCATGACAATAACTTGTGTGTAAGTGTTTGGATATTTCTGAAATTGTACTACAAGGTTCCATATCACAAAGGGAAAGCTGGAATTGAGTTTGGGGGTAATTGCCTGAAACGTTTAGGAATTGGGGGCCAAAAAGGGGCCAAAAATAAGCATTTTTCTAGTTTCCAGACAATAACTTGTGTTCAAGTGTATGGATCTCTCTGAAATTGTACTGCAAGGTACCATACCACAAAGGGAAGGCTGTGATTGAGTTTGGGGGTGATGAATCATAAGGGGGTTCACAAAATTTGGGGGGGGGATTTTTTTTCTTTTCTTTTTTTTTCTTTTTTTCCTTTTTTTTTTCTTTTAAAATTTTCCATTTTAAGTTGGTTATTTCTGATTAATATTTAAAAGCAAATAATAATGATATCGTAGGAGTTACACACCAAACAGGATGTGTAAATTATTATATAATAAGTATTGTGCAATAGCAAGAAATTTTCAATTGCACAGTATTGCACAATTGCAAGAAATCTTCAATTGCACAGTATTGCGCAATAGCAAGAAATCTTCAATTGCACAGTATTGCGCAATAGCAAGAAATGTCCAATAGCACAATATTGCGCAATAGCAAGAAATTGTCAATTGTACAGTATTGCACAATAGCAAGAAATATTCAATTGCACAGTATTGTGCAAAAGAAGATACTTCGTATAAATTGCTTATTTCTTGATCAATTTCAATGGGGTTTTATTCTTGAATTCTTGGGGTTCTTTAATATGCTGAATCTAACCGTGTATTAAGTTTTTGGATTTTGGGCCCCGTTTTTAAATTGGTCTACATTAAGGTCAAAAGGGTCCAAAATTAAACTTAGTTTGATTTTAACAAAAATTGAATTATTGGGGTTCTTTGATATGCCGAATCTAACCGTGTATTTAGATTCTTGATTATGGGCCCAGTTTTCAAGTTGGTCCAAATCGGGGTCCAAAATTAAACTTTGTTTGATTTCAACAAAAATTGAATATATGGGGTTCTTTGATATGCTGAATCTAACCATGTATTTAGATTTTTGATTTTTGGGCCCCGTTATCAACTTTGTCCACATTGAGGTCAAAAGGGTCCAAAATTAAACTTTGTTTGATTTCATCAAAAATTGAATTCTTGGGGTTCTTTGATATGCTGAATCTAACCATGTATTTAGATTTTTTATTTGTGGACCCGCTATCAAATTGGTTCATATTGAGGTCAAAAGGGTCCAAAATTAAACTTTGTTTGATTTCATCAAAAATTGAATTATTGGGGATCTTTGATATGCCAAATCTAACCGTGTATTTAGATTTTTGATTTTGGGTCCCGTTTTTAAATTGGTCTACGTTAAGGTCCAAAGGGTCCAAAATTAAACTTAGTTTGATTTTAACAAAAATTGAATTCTTGGGGTTCTTTGATATGCTGAATCTAAACATGTGTTTAGAATTTTGATTATGGGCCCAGTTTTCAAGTTGGTCCAAGTTGGGGTCCAAAATTAAACTTTGTTTGATTTCAACAAAAATTGAATATATGGGGTTCTTTGATATGCTGAATCTAAACAT